GGTGGAATAATTGTTTGACGTTCTGATTTGACACTGATGTTGGCCAAGTGTTTCGAACGAACCTCATAGCTTGTTGCAAAGTTTCATCTTCTTGTGTGGTCTGCCTTATTTGTTCTGCTGTGATGAGCAGCTGCTCGACGGAGCATGTTAACAAACTTTGAACCTTTCTCTATCTGTCTTCACAGCCGCAATAACCGTTTCTTCACTTGACAAAGGGTAGTTGCTAATAGCTTTGACTGTCATATATTCTGTTTAAGGAATCTCCGTGAACCATAATTCTTCAAACCAGTCCAACTCCAGCAAATCTAAGTTTGAATTATTTACATAGCGTATACCAATTGACTGGGTCTCAGGGGAACCGATATTACACTTCAGTTGCCCACTTAGTCAAAGTTTTCCGCCGCAAGCGCTGACAGCATTTTGATTTGTTTTCTCCATGGTGGGTCTTCCCAGTTTCTGCCGTAGATTCTTCGATATAATCGTTATTTTTGATGCCGTATCTATTGGAACACGTACAGGCTGGGAGTTGATCATGACATCAATGTTTTTTGTGTGCGGCGCGACGGCTGATGTTGAAAGTGACTGTAACATTCATAGACTTTGGTATGAGACGTCTATGAGATCGGCTTCTGGACTTTGATCGGCTATTATATTTGCAGTACGCATCTTAATATCTAACAGAATGGCATCGTAGAGAAGAAGGCTCTCGCTGTGGTATATGCAGTTCGAAGATTTCATAAGATGCTGTAAGATAGAAGACTCACCTTACCAACAGATTCAAAGGCCCTCCTTTCTGTATTTGGCTCAGAGAAAGGCATTTCAGTCCACTCTACAAACAGATTACAACGATAGGTAGCGATCTTACTCAGGTACGACTTCGACATCACATATCACCGGACAGAAGATTTAGGCCACGTAGGTGCTCTTTCGCGTTTAATGAGCAACTACCCTTTGTCAAGTGAAGAAACGGTTATTGCGGCTGTGAAGACAGATAGAGAAAGGTTCAAAGTTTGTTAACATGCTCCGTCGAGCAGCTGCTCATCACAGCAGAACAAATAAGGCAGACCACACAAGAAGATGAAACTTTGCAACAAGCTATGAGGTTCGTTCGAAACACTTGGCCAACATCAGTGTCAAATCAGAACGTCAAACAATTATTCCACCGTTGTCACTGTCTCAGCATTGTTAACGAGTGCCTAATGTTCGGAGAACGAGTTGTTGTACTGGACACTGCGTGAAACAGCCCTGAAGCAGTCCCTCAACGGACACCTAGGTATTGCATGCATGAAGTCTATCACCAGAAGTTATGCGAACTGGCCAAGTATGGACGGTGATAGAACAGAATTCCTTAATCTATGCCGATCGTGTCAAGCAGCGGCCAAGAATCCTCCCTGAGAGCTACTTTGAGCATGGCCTGCCTCACAACCACGGTCTCGACTACACTTGGATTTCGCTGGACCGGTATGTAGTATGTATTACTTAGTTCTTGTGGACGCCCATTCAAAGTGGCCCAAAGTAGTTCCTATTACCACACCCACTAGTAGCAAATTATTTCATTCCTTGCTTTGTGAAATAATATACTTGATGTAACTCACTGTATTTTCACATCTGTCTCAAAAAATTAAAGGCCTGTTCACTCTTAAAACTGTGTATAGTTTGAATTTTGGTCAATATGATTGTATTTTTTCAACTTCTGAGTTATTCATGACCACAAATTCGTTTTCAATATTCAATAACGTTTTTCAGACTGAATTCGAATAATGTGAAACTTCGAAATGGAATGAGATTCGCTTAGACAAAGAGTAATGGAAACACATCCTTTAAATCGAGTATGAGGTGTTCAGTTACGATAGATGTTATGACATCTTACTTCAGAATATATTGAAATATATATACAGTCTGCCTCAATGAAGAAACATATTGTGACTGAAATCAGTATAAGGTTCTTATGCATGTCTTAGTCAAGACACAGATTTCTGTTGTCTTTGTGTACACATAATGCAGTACATAATAACTGAACTACGTCAAATCATTAGGTATAGATCATTTATCATAAGTAAGTTAAGTCGTTTATGGCATGATGTTAGTGTTTAGTATGTGAATGTAAAAACAATTTCCCGTTAGAATAAGATACCGACCGTTATGGAAACTCTATCAGCTAGAGGGAAAAGGTTGGAACTGAGGTTTTGTCTACAGGATTATCACTGGAAATTGTACGAAGGAACTGGTAGAATGGATGTTCTTAATGTGTAGAAAAAGCTCCTACGCTAACGTTAAATGAAAAAAGCTGATTAGGCAGCATGATCATGTCTCACAGTTGTAAAGTTACCTTTGTTATGAATATGAAAACTGTTATGTTATCCATTCACTAATACTGTTTCGCTGCATTATGCATCCAGTAAACCAACTAGCATGATATTATATTAGATAAAGGCTAAAACAGCTTAATTCATCAACTGAAATTCTAAGTTTTGAGGCTTGCAGATATTCGTTTATTCATTTCAGGTTACTATTCATCAAGGACTGACATCACTTGGGGAAGCACTGGGAACCTGGGAGTACTGGGCAGATGTTTCGTCCTAGTATGGAAACCCTCAACAGTGCGCAGCCACAACATCGCCAGGGGTCGAAATCATGACCTTCAGGTTCAGGGGCTAACAGGTTAGCGTCGAGCTACTAGGTCGGAATACAGTGGCCATGTTTCCTACTTCTGTCAGTTCACGATATAACGTGACCTCCATCCAATGACGTTGTCAACTATCTGTTCTCAAATTCACCGGTCACAATTTCTCATTAGTAATTCCATTTTACTCTGTTTATTAGAAATATCACACAGTGAAACAGTATCATTTACCGGATAACGTTTCACGCATAATTTATTGTCCATATTCATATCAGGTAACTAACTCCACAACTTCGAGACAGTCTTTATATATTCGTAATTTTCTCTCCTTCTCTGTGATGACAAGGCTAGTAGAATTTTCCATATATCTGAGACAGATGCAGAATCATTCCGATTGCATGTGTTTGGTGTTGATTCGATAAACAAAGATTCGGTTATCAATCTCGCCTTCCCTCCAACCAACTAAGTTAGTTTTCAACACTGTCACCCTATCCCATCCTACTGTTTGTTTGTGTGTAATTGCGTGCACAGATATAGCTGAGCTTCTCTTTCAATTTATTATCTTATTAGGATCTACTAATCTTGATTTAGCTCAGTTTTTGTGCTCTGTTATTCCAATCGATCCTCGTCGACTGCTTTGACCTATGTACTTGACCTCACAATCAGTGCAAGGGATCTGGTAAACCAGATTATTTCACTGAATCGCATTGTTAGGATCTTTTAACCTACAAAGCTTGTTTCTGAGTGAGTTTGTTAGTTTGAATGCCACTTGAATCCCAGTCAGCCTTATTGAGAATTCTTTGTAATGCTTGTGAGGTGCCTTCCTTGTAACTCTGTCACCATTATTACCATTATTAGTGAGATTATTATTAATTACACCTGTATTACTACCACTACCACTGCTGATATTTTCCTTTTGATTTATTATGAACTTATTTATAGGTTTTCGTGGGTAATTATTGAGACGCAAGGTTTTCTTGTTGCAGATTTTCCTATCTACTAGTAAGCTTTTCCGCTCTATCACCTAAGCATTCAACTAGGCCTAATTCAACTGAAATCGGGTGGGAGGATTCGAAGTCTAAGTAGCGATTCGAATAGGTAAGTTTCCTATAGACACTTGTCTCTAGATTTCCTTCTTGTGTTCATTAATCTTGCAATCCAACATTGCCAGCTCACCTTCATCACTTTCTAAGTCACAGGTAAATTGGATTGCATTTACTACTGAATTTATGTGTGCCAATAACCTGTTGATGTGTTCCGATTTCAGTACTGTAAATGTATCATCTACATATCGGAACCATATCTGTGGAGTAGGACTAAATGTTTGAAGAGCTACCTGTTCCCAACTATCCATAAATATGTCTGCGATGATAGGGGATATTGGTGATCCCATGACCACACCTTCAGTTTGTTTATATATTTTATTTTGAAACGTGAAAACTGTAGATGTTAGGCACAATCGTACTCCTAGTACGATTTCCTCGATCGGCAGCTTAGTTCGATGCGTAAGTTCTTTGTCATCTTTAAGCCCATTTCTAACTGCCTCTAGAGTCATGTCATTAGACCTCATTAGAGCTCATTACACTTTCGGGAATCATCTCGTGAAGCGAGTCAGTAATGAGCATCAGAATTGTTCATTTCGGAGGTTCGTGCGGATTTATCTGTTGGTTTTACTTTGGTTTTCATCATGGAATCATCACGATTCAGACAACAGTTTGTTTTGCAATATCGTAGGGGCATATGTAATTCTTACATAAAGTTCACAGTAAATCTAACTGTATTGGCTTCACAGTTTACTGTTTTTTTAAGTTACGTCTATAGATGCGTTTGATCTAGTATCAAAAAAATTAAAACGACAGTATTCCAACTTCAACAGTAATTGGCTGTACAATTCTTGTCATCACATCCTAAATGATCACTTTCCTTGACGCAAAAGTTAGATAAGACTTTGGATTTAGAAATATGCTTACAAAGGAATTAAAATTATTATGCTACCAGAAAAGAAATGTTTCTGTTATAACACTCCATACCATTAACCTACTTCTAAGTCAAGATATAGCTAGTCAAATTTCATTATTACATAAATTCAATAATCTGCTCCTATCGAAGAAGAAAGCTATAACCACCAAAAAACTGAAATACCTCACTTCCAAGTGGTACACAACATATGTGGGAATCGCACATGAAATACAGAGGAAATGCTTGGAAGAAAAATACGCTTTTTTTATGAGACTTAAGTTTCTTTTCCCAGAAATTTCCTCTTTAGTACAATTTTCTACCCCTTTTTTCCCCTTATCAGATGCATGAGAACCTTCATCTCCTGAAGAGTTGAACTTCGCACCTACTTATCAAAAAAAAGAATCAATAATTTGTATTTACGTACTTTATTGGACAAATAATAGAGTTACAGTTCAATGGTATCATTGGTTATGGTTAGCTTATTTTCTGGTTAAAGATTTCATTCAATAGTTTTTACTTTCAAATTTTATTCTTCATCATCACCATTATCATCATCATACTTACTACGGCCAGATCCACTTTTACGCTGATCATCAGAAGTAAAGAGATATCTGTTTGAATTATCTTTTTTATTGTTTGAATCGTCTTTCTCCTCACTCTCACCATGATAGTCCTCTTTTTCGGAGTTATATTTTCTCTTGTTGTATCCTGAACCTTTATATTGATTTGACTTCCTTTTCCTCTTCCCCCTTTTGTTATAGCCTTTTCCTTTCTTTTTCCTAGGCTTACTGTCATAGTCATGATAACTGGTATGATTTTTGTTTTTACTGTAGCCATCAGGCTTAGATTCCTTCATCAGCCTTGCTTTATTTTTCTTGTGAGGTTCTTCTTCTCGTCTACCAGGGCTTCGCGAATATCTCCTGTCTTCGTTTTCACCTGAATCATTTTCGTCACCTCTGTTACCTCTCTTCTTCTTCTCTACGTGGTGATTTCGGTCCTCTGGTTTTGGTTGATACTGCTCCTTTTGGTCACTTTGATGACTCGGTGATTCAATTTCATCATATTCTTCTTCAGGTCCGTGACCGTTTACTACTTTGGACTTGGGCATATTATCCTCTGAGTTACTATTTCCATCACTGTCTTTTACTGTTCGTTTCGTAACATCATTTTTCACTTGAGGTTGATGATTAGTTTCTGGTAGGTAATCAGGTATGTAGTTCCCATACCTGTCATAGTTTCCATTTGTTCTGTTTATTTGATCATAATACATATCCCCAACCATTCCATGATCCATTGCATGAGAAGATCCTGAGGGATAATTATATGCATAATATGGATATGGCAATTTGTATGGCTTATTGGGACCACTACTGTAGTATCTTCTTGGACGATACTTTAGTCCCCCATTGAACACAAAATCTCTGACATCTTTATCATATTTATCGAAATAATTGTCGTGATAATAATGGCGATGATATCGTTGTGGACGATGATCGTCACTATCATTATTATGATGATGACTGAATTCCCCATAAGACTCTAAGTTATATAGGTTATCATCTCTTCGGTTGTCACGATGATCGTGTTTGTGGCCATGATTTTTATTGCTACGCTCACGATAATCTAAGTTTTCACTAAGATCCGAATCATCTGCGTAATTCTTCTGCTGTCCATTCCCGTCGACATATCCCTCACTGTCTTCTCGATTTTCATAAAAATTTCTCGGTTTGTAGTTTTTATCGTTATCATAATATCTGAAGAAGCCACTATTAAACTCATCATCGAAATACCAATCATATTGACCACCGTTATTTCTGTTTTTTCGGTAGTGATCTGCTCTAGAATTGTGAAAGAATGTTGCGAAGGTAAATATAAGTAAACAGAGAACTTTCATCTTGTCAAAGCTTTCGTTTGCTTGCCTCGCGTTTTTAGTTCACTGGTTATGCCAGAAGTTAAAACAGAATTATTGAATAAACAAACAAAAATGCAGAGATTATTTGAACATGTTGTTACCCCCTCACTTATATAGACACATATCAGCCTAGTGTAACAGTTCATTTAAGTAGCTAATGCACTTAAATCCGTGCAACTACATAATTGGGAAATCAATGTGAGCTATAAATTAGGACGAAAAAAATCACAAAATATTCAAGAAACAAACAATTTCCAAGCATCTGTTTGTCGCGTAACTGGTTAAAAAATTTTTTAACGTGATCAGTGTATACGGCTTAACTGGTCGTTAGATTTCATGGAGTCATTTATATCGTTTTAGCTAAATTTCACCAACTTAATTTCCGACAAACTTGATTTGAAGTTAATCACGCACTCATCTGCAGTTTAAAACATTTTGATCTGGCTAAAGAAACTTGAAAAACACAGCGGTTAACTATCCAACTGTTCTTTAAAACTAACAGCTAACTCTGTTACATGTTACTGAAAGAAAGGTGAACTACTAATGAAAAGCTGAAAAACTAAGAAAACGAAGTATGAAAGTTTTGTGGTGACCTTGAAATGGTTTTGAACGTTGTACTTGAGACAATTTTTGGTCAATAATTCACTAATTCCGCAAACTAAATCCAAAATAATATAACAGAGATCAGTGTTATAGTCAACCCAAAATATATGTTGTGTAAGTGTTGCAATAATGATAATATTATTATTTGTCCCTTGGGTTCCCAATGGAACATAGGGACTCACTAGCACGTCTCCAATGCGATCTGTTCTCTGAAATCTCTTCTACCTGGCTCCACGACAGCCCACAACCTCTCATTGCTTCCTTGGTGGTGGTGGTGGTGGTGGTAGTGGGGTTGATTGGATACCTTCATCAACCGTATCCTCTCCATATTCACTTGAAGTCCTGTATTCGCTGCCTCACCTCGCCTCACCTCACCTCTTCTGTCAACTTGTTAGTTTTCGCCTGTAGATCTTCAAGTTTGTGTCATGAGACATCAGACACTAGTCATCGTTGGCGAAATCCAAGTGCTCTAGGTGATTTTCCACGGTCCAGCCAGCATATCCCCTCTTCTCACTCCTCACAGTTGTCTGTTGCATGATCCAGTCTACTACAATTAGGAATATCATGGGGGATAGCAGGCGACCTTGTTTCACTCCTGTCTTCACTTCACTTCACTTCAAAAGCATCACTGAGTTTTGTTCCCATTGTGAATTACTTGGCTGGTATGTGGCGTCTTCACATACTTGTTGAATGAGGTTGATGTAGGTTTGTGGTATTCCGTAGTATGGAAGCAGTTTCCAAATTACTTGTCGGTCGACGCTGTAGAAAGCCTTCTCAAAGTCGATGAAGTTGAGGTAGAGAATTGAGTTGACTACCATTCTATACTCTGTTGTATGATGATGTGTAGCATAGCGTTGGAATTTGGTTTGCACATGATTTGTACTTCCTGAATCCAGCCAGCCTGTTCCGGTAGTAGTTTTGAATCGAGTGCATACTTTAGTCTCTCCAGGATGATGTGGCTTAATATTTTGCTTGCTTAAGGTGGACAGGAGCATGATTCCGCACCAGCTCCTGATCTTGCAAACACTGAGGTCTCCCTTCTTCGGGAGTTTGACAAGGTAACCCTTCTTCCAATCAGTCGGCAGGTACCTTCCCTTCCTTCCTTAAAAACCTTTTGCAATAGTGGTGTGAGCATGTCCGCCGCTGTTGTCTCTGAGTCTGCTCTCAGTGCTTCTAGGGGGGATTCCATCTTATCCTGCTGCTTTCTCGCATTTCAGTAGCTTTATGGCGTTGCCTTCAGCACTTCGACTTTCATCGGAGGATTTGTGTTCACTGATAGTTCTCTAACTGGGTTGCTGGTGGTATTTCTGGACGACTTGCAGGTGGTGGTGGTGGTGGTGATGGTGGCCGATTCAAGAGCTTCTTGAAGTGGTCAGTCCATCGTTCCACTTGCTTCTCTTCTTTCGTAATCAAATTTTATTCATCATCTTTTATTGGTTTCATGTGTATTGATCTCTTCCCTCACAGATAGTAACCTGGTTATTTGATACAATGTTATCAGGTCTCTATCTCTCCTACCTACAGCCTGTTCTGCTTCACTTGCCAGTGTTTCCTAGAAGTGTCTTTTGTCTTTGCGAGCACTCCTATTCACTTCTTTGTCCAGTGTAGTGTTTGATGTGTTGTATTCAGTTCCTCTTCCCGCTGTTCATCCCTCCACTGGTTTATTATCTTCTGCTTCACCATCACCAACTTCCTCTTCCCCATCTATCATCTTCCATGTGTCCGTCAACATCCATTCCTTCATTGTCTTCTTTCTTCTTCCTTCATAACACGGTTACGCAGGTTTCCTTCCACACTACTTTCAAAGATTTCCAGTGCTCATCCACACACACTCACAAGGTTTCTTCATGCATGTTGCTCAATGTTTCCCTTTTCGTCCCGATGGCTGGCTGATGTGAAGATGTCACTTGTAGTTTCGTCCTTAACCTCAGTTTCTCTTCTGCGTGTTCAACTCGAACTGTGGTCTATCACCAACTTCTTTCAATTAAAGCCTTTCAACATGATTTTGAAGGCAGGTTGCTTGCACTAGATAGTGAAGTGAGTGGTGTGAACCTACATCTGCTCCCCTTCTTCATCTGATCTTGTGTCCAGTAGGCTGCGTCTTCTTCTCCACTTTCCTCACATTGAGATGAAGTTGATCTGAAGTCAATTTTTAGTGTGTCGTGGTGTCTGGTGAAATCAAATCCATGTGGCTGCCTTGTGAATATCCTTGTGTTTGTGCACACTGCCTACAATCACCAAATCGTTGAATGTGCAGAATTCTGAAAACAATTCTCCATTCTCGTTCATTTCACCTAACGCTTCTCGACCATGACTGGTTCTGTTCCTGTGTTGTCCGATCCAAGTTTCGCATTCATGTCACCCCACTCATTAGAATTTTGATATTGCCAACTGAAGTGGGGTCTTGTCCACTGCTGATTGCAGTTGTCTGTAGTATCCCACCCCCCTTCTTCTCTCTTGCTCTGCATTATTTGTAGGTGTGTAGTGTAGCATTGTATGATTGTCACCTTCCTTCCTTCCTTCATTTTCAGTTGAATCTTGTTGTCATGATCCTGATCCTACAGGAGGAGATTGGTTCCAACTACATGAGAGTCTTCGATACTCTTCAGGATATCATGACAGCCACTCCATAACTCAGTGTGCTTGTGGTTGTCATCTGGGTGACAATATCCGAGTAGATTATTGACTCGTCTCCAGTTGACAGTTTTGAGATTCCACTTCCATCCCATCTACTTTCGCAAATTCCTATCACTTCAGTGCGATAACTTCTCATCTCTTCTGCAATCAGGACAGCCTTGTCAGCTAGCTTTAAACATTGTGGTCACATTCCTTGTCCCCATGTTTACTCTGGCTTTCATCGATCGATAGAAGACACATCGACCAATTGTCTTCCGGAAGACTTTCACCAACTGGCGTCATTTTGTCTCTTCGATTCGAGAGAAGAATGAATTTGTTTTTGTTTTTTGTATTTTGTTTGTGCTTTGAAGTTTGTTTAACGGTTGGATTAGTTTTACAATGTAGGGTTGCTAGCCCTACGCCTAAGCTTCCCTCTTTAACAGGGCTTAGGATCAGCTAGTAACCGGTAAACTAGTTAACCAGGCGAGGTTGTTGCAATGATATATATATATATATATATATATATATATATATATATATATATATACAGCATTTTTTAGTTCACTTCATAAAGTGAAGCTAGCTAGACACCACAATCTAAAATTCTTTTGATTTCAAACGAAGTTACAAGCAAAGATCTGCATAACAAGTTTCCATACTATCGCTCTTTGTAAATGTTATAACTTATGAAGGTTTGTTTCGGAGAAATCATCTCCGAAACGTCTCCAAAATCTGTTTCATGGTATAATAATGATATTAGACAGTGGTTCGTTGTAGCGGATTCCAGCCAATTGATTTTCCACACATTACAGTAAAGTTTTTAAAGCTATAGGTCATTTTCTTTAAAAAGATAAGAAAGTGTATAAACGAAACCGAAAAAGCTAATAATTTTCACTTTTAAGTGTTAAACAAGATAATTTGTAACGATATGATTCAGTTTTTCATATTTTAATTATTTTTGTTTTATATTGAACCATTATAAAGGCACAAACAATGCAAGGACTTACTATCTGGCAACTCCACTAAATCAGCTAACTTGTTTAAAATTGTTAACAGTCTGATTAATGTGTTACTAAATACTTGGCCTGCTGCTATATGGTTCAGAAACTTTGCTCGTCATGAAAAGCACTCCCAACAAGCTACAGACATTCATCAACAACTGCTGCCCACTCTGGCTCCATACTGAAGATCGATCGGATGGCCAGAAAGAATAAGCAACAAAGAACTCTGGTTGGCTGTCAACGAACCAACCAACAACCCAACCAACCCAACAAATATGCAGAAGAAAGGGATGGATTGGATTGGACATACATTGAGAAGACCGACTGGGGACATCACGCGCCAGGCCAGACCAGCCAGCACCTCTAGTGGAACCCGAATGGGAAACCACGAGTTGGGCGTCCGAGTTGAGTGTGACATTGAGGAGATGATGTGAGGAAGAAATGAAAGCTTGTGGGCAGTTGTGTTGACAGGTTGAAAAGACTGCAGAGAAGAGAGTGGAATGGAGGCGAACTACTGAAGCCCAATGTTCCACTAGGAACCCAAAGGAAAAATACTAAATAATAATAATTATAGTAAGGAGAATATTCACTCCTACATTAAACCTATAAAAAATCGCGCTTCCTAGATATAATTTTCTCACTAGTTAGGCTTTCATATTTATCAAAAATGAAATCCTTTATCTGGTTTTAATGACTGCGTGGCGTACTTACCATGACATTTTATAGAACAATCCATCTTTGTCGATTGGCCTACATAACTTTAATGTAAGTGTGAAACTTGGGCACTAAGGTAGAATTCAATTCCTTATTAGATTTGTTTATTTGATATATAGCACACAGTGAGTGATACAGTTTTATTTACTTGATGACGTTCTGAGCATAAATTGTTGCTCATAATCATATTAATGTA